GTTCTAAAACTTCAATGCTATGACTTGTTGGATCATTTTTGTGTATCGATATCCATCAACGCTGGTGTTCCCCAGGGATCCATATTGTCTCTAACCCCTCTTTGTATGCACACCAACGACTTACTGGAAAAAAACAAGAATTCAATATACTGGTTTGCTGATGACAGTACACTTGTTTCGTCGTTCCCTTTCGATTCCAAGGCATCAGCGGTGAATGCACATCTTTACCGGCAGCAGGAGGTTGCATATCTTAATGAGGATCTAGATGTGACTACGAATCGGGGAAAAAATAAACAGGTACAATACAATGCCACGAAAACCCAGGCATCGGTTTCCTCCAAAAAGATAAATGTCTCCGAACCGGATATAATAATGTCATGTTAGACAATTTCGTTTTCTGCTTCGATTAGTTTGTTGGAGGTTATAATGGAATTGTGGAATTGGCCGCGGTGGTAGTGTGTACGACTCACGATCGGAAGATCGTGGGTTCGATTCCCGCCTTGACCAGATATTTTTCTAGAGATAATTTATCTGGTTGAAGCTGGAATGAATCTTCAACCGTGTTAGGAATCACACTTTAAAAGGTAAGACCTCGTTAGTCCTTAGCTCGCACAAGTTTCTTAACTTCTGAGAGTTGTCGTTCGTATAGGGGCGACAGCTGATTAACGGAAAAACAGATTTTAAACAGATTTTTTTTTCAAACCAATATGTCTTGGCACAATCATGTCGCTGGAATTGCAAAGGCTGCTGCTTCTCGAAACCGAACCAGAAAATTGTATACACACCTCAGCAACTTTTGATGCTTTATGAAGCTGAGGTCAGACCTTCTTTGGAGTATTGTTTCCATTTATGGAGCTCCGCTCCTAAGCATATCCTGAAGCTGCTGGATTCCATTCAGAAAAGAGCCATCCGCCTGATTGGAGACACGAATTTGCAACCTTGATAGTTTGTAACATCGAAGAACGGTTGGAGATTTGTCTTTCTTTTATGAATTCAATCTCCAACAATTCAAATCCAACGTAAATCGCTACTTTCGCACAGGCTTTGCTCTTAGAGCGCCTTAAGGATTTTCTTGTAGTGCTTGTATTCTGTCCTTAAGAAAGCCGAAAAGCAATAACATTTAAAAAAATTGAAAACTTTTCTACAACCTCCTGCCCAACCCCCATAATAGTGACTGAATGTATTTTCTGCTGATTCTAAACTGAACTCTGGGTTAATTTATTTTCAAACCAAGCGTTTCTGTTTTCTCAATTGGATGATATTCATTTGATTAACTACCTAGATCCTCTTAATTATTTGACACTCAGGTGGATGTCCTCTATACATCATTATCGGGAAATAATGAATACGATGATTCTTACAAACATGTGTCACGCAAGTCAATTTTCAGAAACCATACAATTACGATTTCTAAACAATTCTGCACGAAATCGCAGACATGAGAATTTCAGATACAAATCATGAATAACCAAATTCCTTTTGTTCATACAAAAAATGTTGNTTGAAACTGCTTTTCTTTGGAATGAAAAGTATTTTAAATTTATTGTGAGTTCGTCAATATGCTTAACTATACTTTGTATGTTTGTGTGAAATAATTTAAAATCTCGTCTCTCATTTCTATTACTATTATCTACCAAAAAATCATTGCAATCCCTATAGTTTTCGAATATATTATTCTCAAATTTATCGACAAAAAATTCACTGATATATAGATCCATTTTACAATAAGATTATGCCCGAATATGACTCAATGTTTTAATTATAAATTAATGTATGGAAAAGTTAAAATCGGGACGTAAATGATCCACAATAATAGGGGAAAACTTATGTAGACACATGCATACACACAAATCTGTTCACACTTATATACCATATACTATAAAAAGGAAAGGTACCTATTTATTTTCAAGTGATCGAGGAGACTCTTGATGGAGATGAAAAACCAACGTGTTCGAGGTGCAAGGAAAGAAAAAAATGCACATAGCCCCTATCATCAATCCATAGGTTTCCCTGTTTTCTCTTTCCTCGATCTTGCTATCTTGATACTGGTTTTCCTGAGAATAAAGAGCATTTTAAATTTATTGCCCATCAGGAGGGTACTCAAATACACTCCGAGAATCAGCAACAAAATAGTTGGCCTTGATCGGCCGATTTTGTTACTCACCAGAAGGGGACTCGAATACACCTTGAGTATCAGCAACAAAATAGTTGAAACCGATCGGCCGATTTTTAATTTTTTTTTCATCTTCTTCATTCTTGCTACCTTGAAACTGCTTCTCTTTGGAATGAAAAGTGTTTTAAATTTGTTGCTCATCAGGAGGGTACTCAAATACACCTTGAGTATCAGCAACAAAATAGTTGAAACTGATCCGCCGATTTTTGAAATTTTTTTCTTTTTCCTCGTTCTTGCTATTTTGAAACTGGTTTTCCTTAGAATAAAAAGAGTTTCAAATTTGTTGCTCACTGGGAGTATACTCAAATACACTTTGAGTATCAGCAACAAAATATTTGAAACTGATCGGCAGATTTAATTTTTTTTTCTTTTTTCATTTTCCACGTCCTTGCTATTTTGAAACTAGTTTTCCTTGGAATAAAAAGTGTTTCAAATTTGTTGCTCATCATGAGTATACTCAGATACACCTTGAGTATCAGCTTTTGCTGATACTAAATCGGCCGATTTTTAATTCTTTTTTTCATTTTCCTCATTCTTGTTATCTCGAAACTGGTCAAACTTGATAGTGAAACTGGTGAAACTGTATAGTAAGAACGAGGAAAATGAAAAAAAGAATTAAAAATCGGCCGATCAGTTTCAACTATTTAGTTGCTGATACACAAGGTGTATTTGAGTATCAGTTTCAACTATTTTGTTGCTAATACTCAGGGTATATTCGAGTATACTCCTAGTGTGCAACGAATTTTAAACACTTTTCTAAGGAAAACCAGTTTCAAGATAGCAAGAACGTGGAAAATGGAAAAAAAAATTAAATCGGTCGATCAGTTTCAACTATTTTGTTGCTGATACTCAAGATGTATTTGAGTACCCTCCTGATGAGTAACAAATTGAAAACACTCTTCATTCGAAAGAAAAGCAGTCTCAAGGTAGCAAGAATGAGGAAAATGAAAAAAGAAAATAAAAATCGGCCGATCGGTTTCAACTATTTTGTTGCTGATACTCAAGGTGTATTTGAGTCCCCTTCTGGTGAGCAACAGATTTATAATACTCCGTATTTCAGAAAATACCGGTTTCAAGATAGCAAGAACAGGAAGAATTCAAAAAAAATATTAAAAATCGGCTGATCAAGGCCAACTATTTTGTTGCTGATTCTCGGAGTGTATTTGAGTACCCTCCTGATGAGCAACGAATTCGAAACGCTTTTCATTCTCAGGAAAACCAGTATCAAGATAGTAAAATCGAGGAAAGAAAAAATAAAATTTTAAAATCGGCCGATCGGTTTCACCTATTTTGTTGCTGATACTCAAGATGTATTTGAGTACCGTCCTGATAAGCAATGAATTTAAAATACTTTTCATTCCAAAGAAAAGCAGTTTCAAGGTAGCAAGAATGAGGAAACTGAAAAAAAATGGAAATCGGTCGATCGGTTTCAAATATTTGTTGCTGTTACTCAAGGTGTATTTAAGTTTACTCTTGGTGAGCAACAAATTTAGAACATCTTCAATTCCAGGAAAAAACAGTTTCAAGAATGCAAATGAAAATGGGTTCTTACAACCTACTACACCATTTATTGTCTTCATTTTAGAGGCGGGAAGTAGGTATTCAAAGAATGTGGCATCTATTTCATGGTGGGCCTACCAACTGCCTATCATAAACGAATGCGTATACAAAATTACGTGTCCCGGCTATTTACAGCTGAGGAGATCTTTCGTACGGAGCTGATCCTGGCAGCAGCATCAGGTTACGTTTATGATTAACATGCATTGTCATCGGTTCTAGACCAGCATGCAAAATTTCAGGTCAATCGGATTCTCTTTAACAAAATTGAAGACCTCGGCTAACCGAAGCACCTGACCTTTGCTTTTCTCAGGTCGAGTGCTCCAGGGTATATTGAATTCGTTTTGGGAAATGAGAAGTGCCGAATTTATTGGAACTATCCATCTTTACCCCCCTCAGGCTGACACAAGCAAATAAGCCTGATGTAATTCTTCTCGACCATAAAAGTGAAACGATATTAGTCGTGGAGTTTCCAGATGCGGGTAAGGCGAATATAGTCCGGAAAGAGGAGGAAAAACGGATGAAATATCGAAATTTACTCTTCGAACTTCACAGACTTCACCCAGATCACTCTGTTAAAATTATTTTTCTGATTATTGGAGTCTCCTTGGTGGAACGATGCCCTCCCTAATCTTAAATCTTAAGATCATATCTGCTTGCCGCAGATCCAGTGATCACCTACCCCAAGCTGTGCGAAGTGGTCATTTGCCAGCGCCAGCGCGCCCTCAGAATGGGTCGGAGCTTCGTGGAAAGGATCCCACCATATATAAACCAATCAATACAGGTTATAAAATTACCAAGTGGTATCTATCGAACAGTCCACATGTTTCCTTTGAGAAAAATGTTTCCTGAATTTGAAATCTTCAGGATTTCTGTGGAATTACTATTTGACAGAATAAATTATCATTCAATTCATTTTTCCGAGGCTGGAATACAAAGTGAACAAACACTTAATTTATATGTATAGGTACCAAAAAATGTATTGAACTTTGTTTGACTGAGGTCTTATTATTTTCCTATTTTACTGGCAACACTGTAATAGCGCCACTGTTAGAATCGTATCAAATCAGTCAGACAGCCGTGGACTTGACGTCTGTTTGTAAAAAATTCGCTATTGCGAACCAAATATTGTATGTCCTTGGTTGGCGTAATTGTGTATAGTGAAGTTGGATATTGGCTATCAGACATCTTGAAACTTAAAACTTCTGGAAGACATTTCAGTAGTGGAAATTCGAACAATGAAGTGCATTAAAATTAATTTTAGCGATTTGGCTCCAGAAGAAATCAAGTCTGCAAGTAAGTGTTTCTTAAATTTCATTTTACATGCTTAAGTCTACTCTCTCAGCGAATTATGGTTGGTATAACATTGATTTCAAAGCTGTACTCAAGTCAACTTCTAGGTTTTGTAGGTGATTTCAAAGGACATATGTGCCTAATTTCACATTTTTCCGTTAATATTCCGTTAATATTTTGCCTAAAATGAAAAATGTTTGGCTAACAACCAGTTTGTACCTGCATAAAGTCCGATTCAGTGTCAACCAACACTTCTATGCTTGGTTTAACACCTCCTGGTGTGGGAAAGCAAAATGCCGATTCAGAAAATACACTATCACTTACTAGAGTACACCAACTATATTTTATTTTTATATTATGGCAGTTTTCTGCAAGTTTTTGTCTTTGTTTCAGTAAAAAAAAGATGGGTATTCAAAGTGAAATAAAAATTTTAATAAAAGATAAAGACTTCACTGAAATTGATGACGATGTATTGGAATTTTACTGCAAATCTAAAGAAGAACCTTATTTGAGAATATTTTTAGATTCTGATCCGATTTCCGAGACCTTAGCTCCTTTGGACATATTGTCAGGTGAATAATACAATTTTGTTCCAATATATTTTCCCACAAAATATAATTTAGGTATTTCGTTTGAATTTGATGTTTTCAAAAATTTACTGTGACTTTTTAAATCAAAAAATGAATTACAAATACTGATGTCTTGGTTTTGTAGATTCCACTATAAAGGCAATATGTGATAATGATATATTTGATGGAACTAATAGCTCTACATCTACGTTATCAATTAGCTCCAGAATGGAAAATATATCAGATGTAGATGTAAGTACTTTCTTAGTATAATTAGGCTTTCCTTGCCATGACTCAGTGTTCACATCATTGTTATAATTATTATTTTGTAGGATCTACAGACACAAATTATTCGTGGTGGTGGGCAGTACATAATAGACCAGTACCAGAAGAATAAAATGTTGACTGACAGAAGCAGAATACAGTTAGTAAACATAGTTGCAAATGTGCTTTATGAAAAATATGGGAATGCAGTACCCAAGAGCGCAAAAATGGAGTGCGCAAAAAAATTAGTTGAAATTTTCCCAATGTACAAAAATTTGGAAAGTTCTACAGGGGGTTTCAGGGGAGTAGTTGTTTTCTGATAGGCGTCAGTCCATTAAACCTACTGTGTAGGTATATAGAGACTGGCTTGAACGTTTGAAGTTCATTTGCTTTAGATTTGATTTGTTCTGATGTTCCCTTCTTTCTTCTTTTTCTTGGTTTTCCATTTTTTGTGTAATCCTTAGGTGCATTTTGCCTAACTGTCTCAGCAAGTGGTAGATTGTCTTCAGAGTCACTTCTTTTTACGACTTCATAATTTTTCCGATTCTCATTTGCTTCAAGCACATCTTTTTTAATTTTTCTTTCTCCGGTGAAACTCTCATGTCCTTCATCAGCAGACCCTACACCGGAACTGTTATTTACATCTTCCTTGTGTTTCAGTTTTTCACTAACGTCATGACCACTTTTTCCAGTTTCCATTTTTTCAATTTCCATGTCTTCAGTACCGTTTTGACCGCCTATTTCAATTTCCATTTTTTCAGTACCGTTTGGCCACCTACTTCAATTTCTATTTCGTCAGTATCGTTTTGGTCACCTTTTTCAATTTCTATTTCGTCAGTATTGATTTGACTAACTACTACGATAGTATTATTTGAAATAGTACAAGATGCTTCTATTTGCTTGAATCCACCAAAGTCGGGTGCTGATTCTACAACTGGTAACAAGGTAGTCAGCGAGGCCGATCCCTCAAGTATATTTTCTGCCAATAATAATTCAGGTAGTAGTTGTTGTTCTGTTACGACAGGCATCAGCGTAGTAAGCGAAGCTATCTCTTCACATTCTTCTGAAGGAAGTTCTGGTTACCTCTCGTAGAAGGTAACAGGTTAGTTGAAGAAGTTGACTCGTCAAATAAATTTTCTGGTAATGGGTTGAAAGAGCGTATAATTGTGTTGCTAGTCGACATGCAATATGATGATGATATCTCGACAGTATGCTTCTTTGAAACTCCAACATAAGACGGCTTCTACCAGTACTCATATTTCTGAAAGAAAAACCTGATATTGTAAGCTGTTATGGTATCTTACACAACAAGAGTTGAAAGTGGCACTTTTCACATACACCAGTTTATGAAAAGTCACTTTCAACACGAGTTGTGTACAATATTTTTCTTACGATCAATAACAAAGCAGGTATTGTCTTTCAAAATTAGTACCTAAACACATACTAACATTGGAGACTTGAAAAGAATATAACAACACTAGAATTGAAAAGTACATAATAGCACTAGGATTGAAAAGTGTAAAATCCATCTAGGCGCAAGCAGTTATTAATTTTGAAAAGTACTTTTCAAAATGCGTGTCATAGGATCGCAGGAAAACATTATTTCACTCAAACGTTTTACACTGGAAGACTGATGTTATAACTAACATAACCTTGAAAACGGGTGAAAATACATGAAAAGAGTAAAATACAGAATTACATTACAACTTACCATTCAAAATAATAACACAACTGCAAAAATAAAACAATTGCACTAGCACAGCTCTTTCGTTCCGTAATTATTTAAAACAATAACAAACTCATGCATGTGTTGCCATCGAAACTCTAACTCTAGGTGCTACTAAGGAAAAGCGCGGTATCTATTGCATACTAAAATAGACCACGGTATCTTAAGGCGCGAATTGTCTTTATACCGCGTTCATTCTTAGCATTGAAAATATACTGCGTTTATCCTTAGCAAGCATGGGTGGTTTGGAACATACGGCAAAAATGAATATCGCTTTTACGAGGGAATATCAAAGATACGGCAATTTTAGTTATTACACGATTAAACATATGTGTGATAAACCATATCATGCCCTTAACTCAAATTTGAAAAATTTGGAACATACCGCGTTCATCCTTATGAGGGCAGAATTCCTATATATATCAAGATATAGACATTTGAACTCAACGTGGGAGTCAATAAATCAATGAAATCAATAATAAAATAAATAAAAACCAACAATACATCTTCAAAATTCATTTCACATCCCACATGTTTACAAAAAGGATTTGAAGCTTCAATAACTTCTACTTATTATATGCGAGCGCTTTCTATAGCAGGCTGTACTATCATTTTCATAGCTCTACTCAATGTTCACAATGGAAGTTGAAAATAATAACTCAATTCCATTTCTGGACGTTCTCATCACAAAGTCCAACAACTATTTCTCACACACGGTCTACCGAAAACATATCCATACTAGCTAGCTAGCATACTAGCTATCTCAATGCTAAGTCCCATTATCATCCTGCCCAGCTGAATTCCGTTTTGAATTCCCTCATACATCGTTCTATAAAACTCACTGATTTCCACAACAGATCCAGGGAACTATACGAACTCAAAGCCGCCCCTCACCAAAACGACTATCCCGTCTCCCAAATACAAAGATCCATCCAACGACAGCAAACACAAATCCCACCTCACGAGTTACCCGAGAAACAGACTAACCAGACAAAAGCTTTTCTCCCCTACATCCATGGAGTTACTGACAAAGTGAGACGAATTCTGAAGAAACATAACGTAAAGACAGTATTCACAGCTAACAACCTGATCTGAACTTACATCGGCCAGACCAATAGAAGAATTTTCAACAGAGCCTACGAACATGAAGTATCTTATCGACCTTTTTTTGGGTAATTGTTACCTTCCACAATCTGAAAAAATATAAAAATTATAATGAAGAACTTTATACAAGTGTAGAAGGGTAAACTTTTTAGTTTACCCCGATAAGTTACTGCGTAAAAATCAACGTATTTTTCACAAAGAAAAATCTTTTATTTTTATTTATCAGTAACTTGTCGTATTTAATTAATATTCAATAGAAAATAAAGAGTCAAACAGCTTCACAAATTCAACAACATCCAACTAAACAATTACCGACTCAACATCCAACGACACCTTTTACAACTAACGTTATACCTTACATTCCAAGATTTCGCAAATCAGGAGAAGTGCAGGGCGTACATCTCGACATCACCAAGTGAACAACATATCGAAACGAGCTATGTTGTTAGCGGATGTTCCTGCAATTCTGGAACCCTTAGGTACCAGTCGAGATGATGGTAAACGACCAGATGGAAATACGGTAAACCCGTGGTATGAGACTTCACTTGCGTTGACACGGTCGCGGCTTCCCATCTAGCCGGAAGTTCGAAGTCTGCTGGAACTGCAGCATTGTCGTGAGCCGAATTCTGAAGAAACATAACGCAAAGACAGCTAACAACCTGATCTCCACTCTTTTAAGAACACCCATAGATACGATACACAATGAAGCACAGGGCATATACGAAATACCATGTTTTAACTGTCCCAGAACTTACATCGGCCAGACCAATAGAAGAATTTTCAACAGAGCCAACGAACATGAACTATCTGTTCGCAAATCAGACCCAGCATCATCTCTCTCCAAAAACCACCAGGAAACATGCCACACAATAAGCTTCGAAAACACCAAGACTATAAGAAAGTAATAGAACAATTATGAATCTATGTAGGTGTTGAAAAATCCACTGCTCTTATTAACACAAATTAGATCCGTTCAAAAGATATTTCACACATCAACATCGTAAATAAATATATTATCCTCTTAACCCTGGCTGACGGACGGTAAAAATGCTTTGAACGTGTTTGGGTATTGCAAGAATGTATTCATGATGTGCTAGGGCTGCTATAGCAGACGTGAACTATGTTCTAAATGTGATTCAATGTTATAAAGAAAAACTTCAAAAGGAGATATTCTAATGCGATCATCAGTAAATTCAAGTTATTCCTCTACGATTTTTTATAGGAATTCCGTGCATAATTTTCGAATACTTTCAGAAGAGAGATATTTATGAACTTGTTTTGATATTACGTATGCAAAACGATTACAAGATAGTAATAGCTTATCGAATTCTCAATTCAGTTAGTTGTCCAGCATGTTATTTTAAATTATTGTACATAAAAGCATTTGCTGATAGCAAAATTTTTAAAATTAGTAAATTTTACGAAGAATATAAGAATGATTGAGAATAATTTATTCATAATTACTCGACATTACATATAAATACGTTACAGGTAAATGAAATTGAAGACCACAAAGTGTTTACATAAGATTTCAGTATCACAAAATTGCAAAGTAATGAGAATTCTATGAGGGTTTTCTGACAAAGCGATAAAAAAGTTAGTATTCTTCAAAGTGCGGTGTGGGCCGCAATGTGTTAGGGATTTCAAAATCTTAGAGAATATTTATCAAAAACTTTCGAACTCTCATTATAATTTACCTTTTTTATGTAGATGTAGAGACAATAAAATTATTCCTAGGACTCTCAGATAGACAATGTAGATGTAGATTTAGAGACAATAAAATTATCCCTAGGAGCCTCAGATTGACAATACCTTATGATAGTCTACAATGTAAAGAAATGAAAAGAACTGGCCATGCAATGGTGAGAGAAAGAATACAGTTTCATCATCACAATAAGGTAATATTAGTAGTTTAAAATAATACCTATATGATTCAACATATATTTCCGTCTGATTATAATTACCTCTGTGATTGCATTCAGAAATCTTATATTCATTTTTACAACACCAGAAACAGAATCCACATTTAAAAATTCCAAAAGCTATTTGACGAGAAACAAAAACGTTTTTTCTTGAATATGCGAAATAATAAATCGTTTGTGGAAAATACTGTGTTGAATTTGTCTTCTAGATAATTAAGAATGAACGAAAAACTTGATTAGTAGAAGGGATGAATTTCGCAGTTGCTCCGAAAATAGTTAGAACTTTAGATCTATAGAGTAGAGTAGATCTGTAGAGTAAGGAGAGTGAGTGTAAGCCCACAGCACTTAGGCCACATGTGATCCATTGTACATCCTCTCGAAGAGTTGTCCTCCTAGGTCATCGTCCATCCTGCCCTTTCCAGCAAGGTGAACAGGTCACTTGGAGACATCTCCTTTATATCGGCAGGTGTAGGCCAAGACTCGACGAACACCCACTCTCTTATTGACGATAACTCCGGACATTCGCATAGGACATGCCTGACAGCTTCATCTTCCTGTTCACACATCC